TTCATCCCCGTCTCTGCATCCTCTATTTTCCTCTTCGTTCCCCTCTCTTTCTCCCCTCTTCCTTGCTCTCCCTGCCATCATCCTTTTCCCTCTCTCTCTCCCCTCTTCCTTGCTCTCTCTGCCATCATCCTTTTCCCTCTCTCTCTCCTCTCTTTCTTGCTTTCTCTGTCATCATCCTTCTCTCTCTCTCTCTCTCCCCTCCTCCTTGTTCCCCCTCTCATCATCCTTCTCCCTCTCTCTCCCCTCTTTCTTGCTCTCCCTTTCACCATCCTGCTCCCTCTCTCTCACCCCCCATTCTTGCTCTCCCTTTCACCATCCTTCCCCCCCTCTCTCTCCCCTCTTTCTTGCTCTCCCTTTCACCATCCTTCTCCCTCTCTCTCTCTCCTCCTTTCTTGCTCTCACTTTCACCATCCTTCTCCCTCTCTCTCTCTCCACTCTTTCTTGCTCTCCCTTTCATCACCCTTCTCCCTCTCTCTCTCCCCTCGTCCTTGCTTTCCCTTTCACCATCATTCTCCCTCTCTCTCTCCCCTCTTTCTTGCTCTCCCTTTCACCATCCTTCTCCCTCTCTCTCTCTCCCCTCTTTCTTGCTCTCCCTGCCATCATCCTTCTCCCTCTCTCTCTCCCCTCTTTCTTGCTCTCTCTTTCATCATCTTTCTCCCTCTCTCTCTCTCTTGCTCTCCCTTTCACCATCCTTCTCCCTCTCTCTCTCTCCTCTTTCTTGCTCTCCCTGCTATCATCCTTCTCCCTCTCTCTCTCCCCTCTTTCTTGCTCTCCCTTTCATCATCCTTCTCCCTCTCTCTCTCTCTCTCTCCCCTCTTTCTTGCTCTCCCTTTCATCATCCTTCTCCCTCTCTTTCTTGCTCTCCCTTTCACCATCCTTCTCCCTCTCTCTCTCTCCCCTCTTTCTTGCTCTCCCTTTCACCATCCTTCTCCCTCTCTCTCTCTCCCCTCTTTCTTGCTCTCACTTTCACCATCCTTCTCCCTCTCTCTATCTCCCATTCGCATCCTCTTTGTCAACAGAAATAAACATTCCCGATCGCAATTACGTACTCAAACGGACACTCTGGCAGTCGTTGGCACCCACTTATGCCACTCGAGTGACGGCACACCTCTCATGCCATGCCACTTATGACACTCCATTCACGATACTCCGTTCATGACACTCCATTCGCGGCACTTTATTCATGACACTTTTCATGACGCCCCTTTCACGGGACTTTATTCATGACACTCCATTCATGACACTTTTCATGACACACCTTTCTCGGCACTTTATTCATGACACTGTTCATGACACCCCTTTCACGGCACTCTATTCATGACACTGTTCATGAGACCCCTTTTCTCGGCACTCTATTCATGACACCCCTTTCACGGCACTATATTCATGAAACTGTTGATGACACCCCTTTCACGTCACTCTATTCATGACACTATTCATGACACCCCTTCCACGTCACTCTATTCACTCCACTCCACTTATAACACTCCCCTTATGACACTCCATTCATAACACTCCACTTACAACACATCTCAATTCCACACACACTCTCAAATGACACAGAACGGGGCACTGTCTTCCCACTACGAGCAGTTACTTGGCACTGTCACACGCGACACCGAGAGCGAGCCACCGGAGAGCCAGGCGATGAGGCACTGTCGTTGCAACACTGGGCGATTCCACTAACTCCACAAGGTCGCATGTTGATGTGGCGTCTTGTGGGTCTGTGCTTTCTCTCCGTCTTCTGGTTTTCTTCTTCTACTTTCTTTCTTTCTCTCTTTCTTTCTTTCTTTCTTTCTTTCTTTCTTCTTCTTCTTTCTTTTTCTTTTTCTTAATTTTTTCTTCTTCTAGTTCCAATTCTTTGCCCTTATATTCTTTCTACCCTTCCTCTTCTTGTTCTTCTTCTCTTTCTTGTTCTTCTTCTTCTAGTTCCATTTTTTGTCCTTCTACTCTTTCTACCCTTCCTCCTCCTCCTCCTCCTCCTCCTCCTNGTATGTATATTTATTGGTCTCTTAGTAAGCTTCAGCTTAGACGAAGTAGGTGTATAGAATATAAGAATCATTAGAAAGGGTGGGAAAAGTAACGCTGGAGACGGCAATGTGAACTGTGAAAAAAACTGAAAATTCATTCAGGGAAAATATTCTTTTTTTCCCGTGACAGTGAGCAGCAGCAAAGGCGAGCAGCTGACGGACGCTGTCGTGAGGGCCGTCTTGGCCTCCGACAAGGGCCCGACTGTCAAGCTCTCCTCCTGGGGCAGCGAGAGCATGGCGTCACTGGCGGACGGGGCCACCTCCGACATCCAGCGGCTCCAGGTGACGTACCTCGACGCAGACGGCCATGAGCACGGCGTGTCGTATGCGGCGAAGCTGCTCCGGTCGCGGGAGGGATTCTACAACATCATCCACGCCAAGGAGTGCAGCTTCTACTCCGACGTCGTGCCAGCCGTCAACGCCGTCCTAAGGGATGTCGGCTACGACGAGCTGAGCGTCCCCAGGTGCTTGTTCCAGAGCACGGAGCGCGGCCGCGAGGTCGTTGTGCTGGAGAACCTGAGGGATCTCGGCTATGAGATGAGGGACAAGGCGGAGGGGATCGACGCAGCCCACACGGTCTTGGTGCTCAAGGAGCTCGCCAAGCTGCACGCAGCCTCGGTCCTCCTGCAGGAGAAGAGTCCACAGGAGGACCTCGTAGACCGGTTCGCTTGCCTGCAGAAGGAATGGACCAAGGAGTTCAATGTCGGGTGCAACTTCGAGCAGTTCATCGGGAGTTACCTCGAACGCAGTGTGGCAATGTTCGAGAAGATCGGAGGCTGCAGCACAGTCGTGGAGTGGATCAAGAGGATCAAGCCGAAGGCAATGCAGATGTACAATGAGCAGATCAAACAGACGCCGCCCTTCACCGCCATTTGTCACGCAGATCCTTACATCAATAACTTCTTCTTTAAGTGAGTAGCACTTGACTTGTTCCCCTCCTCTTCATACTCACTTTCCTGCTTCTTTCTCTACACCCTTCGCTCTCTTTCCTTGTTGAATATGGATAAAAGTTCATATTACCCGAACATCATTTTCCAAATTGGCATTTCTCCCGCAGGTACGACGAGGCCAGGAACCCCATTGACGTGAAGCTCTTCGACTTCCAGGGCTGTCGCAAATCCTCCGTTGCCAACGACCTCCAGCACCTGTTCAACATGAACCTGACGGGCCCCGTGCGACGCCCCAACCTGGATTACTTCCTCAGGACCTACTACGCCTCCTTCGCCGGGATTCTTGAAGCAGGGGGATCGAGGGCGCCCTTCACCCTGGACGAGCTGGCGAAGGAGTACCAGGATAAAGGTTTTTACGGGTTACTATATTGTCTTCTATGGATCCCGAATATGGTGCGTCGACCCGAGGACACCGTCGACATCATCGAGAGGAGCGAGGAGGCCGTCGACGTCGAGACGAGGAACGTGCTGAGGATGGTGGACGCGAACCCGCTGCTCAAGCCAAGGATTCTCTCCATCGTCGAGGAGTGGACGGAGGGGGGGGTCATCGCGTAGGGACGACCTCCTAAAACGACCTGTTCAGACGACCCTCTTAAACCTTTCAGGACGAACATTTAGAAGATCCTTGTAACACATACTTCTTTGAACAACCTTTTTAGACGAAACCTTTTAAACTACCTCCGTGAAAGACGTCTTTTTGTAACGCCCTTTTGAACATTTTAGCGCGGTTTTTTTTGTTTAAAGGTATGGCACGAGGATAAGTAAAGGAATTCAAATTGTTTTTCCCCTTCTTTTATTTCTCTCCTTTAACTCTTCCATGTAAATTTTTTAACAGTCAAAGTCAGTTTGGACAATGACATGCATATTTTGTGTTGCAAGAAGCTAATGAAGAATTACATATATATATATATATATATATATATATATATATATATATATATATATATATATACATACATATATATATATATATATATATATATATATATATATATATATATTTATATATATATATTGTTTTAGTGATCAGTTTTTTTTTTACTTCATATAAAGGGAGGAAGAGGGGATGGTCGAGAAAGGATAATAATGGTGAAATGGTTATGAAGGAGGATACGAGTAACGGTGGAATAGTGGAGGAGGAGGAGAGGAATGGCGGAGAAAGAAGAAGAGTAATGGGGATGGAGAAGGAGAGTAATAGAATAAAACACAAATTATGTATATATATATATATATATATATATATATTATAATATTATATATATTATATATATAATATATATTCCCCTCTCTCCTTCATTGTTTATTCATGTGTCAAAATACTTTATGCCGTTAAAAAAATGGTTCTTCATTTTACATAGATAATGGCAGCGTACAGTAATAAAGAAAAAGTAGAAATAAATTAAAATACATTAGTAGGACAGTTATCAAAGAGAATAATATAGAATAGGATGGTCACATCATTAGACATAGAATTACATGCCTTGATTTTGCAGTCTGATGCCTGATGCGATTGATAATTAAAAAAGTGTTCCTTTGATTTCTTTCTGAAAGTCATTAAGTTGGAGATGTTTCTAAGATTTTGTGGTAGATTGTTCCAGATTTTGGAGCCTCAGATTTGCATTTCTCTTGACAGTGTTTTCGTGTATGATATCTTGAAGTGTAGAGAGTTCATCTGTCTGGTATGAATGCCTGTTTTGTTAACTATTGTTCGTAGAGGCATCAACCAGTGAGGTTAGTCTCCCAGTATTAGTTATTTTTGTATTGTTTTGTTGGTTGAGCCTCATATGTTGGAACAGTAGTTTATAATACTGAGTGCAAGGGTTTGTACAACAGTAATTCTCGTGTGAGTGGGGATTTTGCTTTTTAAGTAATTTGGGTATATTAGTGTGTCCATTACTTTTTTCGTATATGTTGTCCATGTGTGTCTTAAAAGTCATATATCTGCCTATGTGTACTCCTAGATTTTTAACGGTTATACTTGGTTTAATATGGTAGCCTTCAAATTCTATGACTGTGTTTGTGGGTATTTGGGATATGTTTTGACTACCTATAAAGTTGCAAAGAGTTTTATCAGGATTTAGTTTGAGGCCGTTGTTATGAAAACGCATTTTTGCTTCTGTGAGAGTCTGTTGAGTGTTTCTTATCAATTCATTTAAATTGCTTACAGGGGCAGCGTGAAGAAAGTGAGAGTCATCGGTATATTGAACAAGGAGACAGTTGCTTGCAGTGGTTGATAGGTCGTTTATGATTATAGGGAATAAGATCGGTCCTAATACGGAGCCTTATGGGACACTGAAAGAGACTGGTTTCTTAGATGACATATTATTACGAATTTTGACTAAATGTGCTCTTGTGGATAGATAACTTCTAAAGCAATTGTTGTCAATTCGAAGACTTTTAATTTTGTAAAGCAGGATTTCACGGTTGACACTATCAAATGCTTTCGATAGATCACAGAATGTGAGTAGATTTAGTTAATTTTTGTCTATGCTGTCATAGATTTTATTTGTTATTCTTAATAATGCTGTTTCAGTGGATAGCTGACTTCTAAACCTATGCTGCGTTTCAGAAATGAGGTGATTGGATGAGAATTTTGATGATTTGCAACAATTTTTTCTAGCACTTTAGATATCACTGGGAGTAGAGTTAAGGGACGATAATCACTAATCTGTTCTGTATCTCCTAATTTGAAAATTCGCATTATGATACCATATTTCCAAACTGATTGGTAGGCATCTGTGACAATAAATGTATTTATAATAGCTAAAAAGAATGCGATTGCGGGTGAACTTTTTTTGGTGGATCGAAAAGCGATGCCATCCACTCCTACTGCATTCGTTTCACGCATTTTTTTTATTGGTTTTGGTCTGAAAGTATTTGATGAGAGTCTTGTCTTAATCACGTTTTGTGGGGCCAAGGAAGACGTTGTCTGTCCATATGTGAGTTTGCAGATATTAGTAAAGTGATCGTTTAGATGCTCTATACTACTTGATGAATATAAGCAAGTGTCTGTGTGGTGTATTTTATTTGGTGTTAATGTTTTAACCGTTTTCCTTGTTGCTTTGGTATTGTGTTTACAGTCATTAAGCTTGTTTTGAAAATTAGTTTTTGCAGATTTAATTAATGTTTTAACAGCTCTATTTTTTATTTATTTGTTTATTTATTTATTTATTCAGCCTGAAGGGATATCTGTTCTGTTCCTTTTGAGAGATTTGTCATTTCGTCATGTAAAGGTCCCTTGATGTCCTCGTTTATCCATGAAGCGGCTGGTCGTCTTACAATTTTGGTCTTATGGGGAGCAATGGCAACTATGCTATTTTTCAGCAGGTTCGAAAGAATCTACTTTTTTTTTAATATCTATTTTTAAAATTTTTAAGAGGGTCCACTGGCTGGCACTGACATTTTGACAAAGTAACTGGGGACCTTAACTTGTCATGTCACGTGATGTTTTGACGTTTGGGTCTCTTTATAGCTACTGTCATAGTTAATAGTTTGTGGTCTGCGATCTGGCAAGGGATAACATCAAACGGATTGGGTCTCTTTAATATAATGGTATTTAGTACGAAGTGTTTTCTGTGATTCTAATAGGTTTATTTATAAGTTGATGTGATTTGTTTCCTAATTATCCCAACTAACTTACGTCTTTTTTATAGCAAGACTAATATTTTTTCTTCAGTGGAAAACAATCATTTCCAAATCTTTAATTGGTGTCAAAGAATAGAAAGGATATTCAAAATAACACACGAAAATTTTATAATATTTCTTTCGTACGAAAATCTACATTAACATGATTCATTTTTTGTGAATGATAACTCGCACATTATGACAATCACATTTCATATATTACAAGTATGTACAAATGTTACATCGATTTTAGATACAGTTGAATTCGTGGTCTTATTTTGAACACATATTGTCATCCGCAGGCAGAATGAGGATATGAATGAACACCGATGTTCATGTTGTTCATAAATGTTGAACAGATGAAGAATAGGAAGGAGACAAAGAGAGAATCAAATCAAAACCAATAAATATGGGGTCATAGCAGCAAAAATCACAACAATAATGACACCAATAACACTTTTGATAGTAATAACAATATATATGAGATTATTAGTAATTAAGAAAAAACCTAAGAGAATAATTGTAATACTAATGATGATAATAATGTAGTAATGATAAGACTAATGTAATAATTATAATAGTAACGATAATTATAATGATAACAATATTAATAATCATAATAACAATAGTAATGATAAAGTAATAATTATCATCCTTATTATTACTATTATCGTGAGAAATAATGATGATAATAAAGATAAAAATAATGAAGACAAAAAACAATAATAATAATAATAATGATAATAATAATAATAATGATAATAATAATAATAATAATAATAATAATAATAATAATAATAATAATAACAACAATATGATAATATGGATAATGATAATCACAATAGTGATAATGATAAAACAAAAGATAATAATGATGATGCTAATGATAATAACAA